ATCTGGTCCATTCTTCTCCAAACATAAAGAGGAAGTTCTTCTAGCTGGTGCTCTACAACCTGTAATTGGATTGCTTAGGTAACGTTACTCTGGAATTCTGATTTGTCCTTCAAGCTCTCTACCTTAATATTTTATAAAATACTTTTCTCAAGTTCAAAATTTTAATGGCAGATCTTGCTGTTCTGAGAGTCAAAGAGAAGCAGCTCTTTTGATTGGTCAATTCGCTGCAACAGATTCTGATTGCAAGGTGGATTGAATTTTGTGTTGCATTTAGATAGTGCAAAAAAAAAAAAAAAAAAACCGTTTGGATGGTTTTAGAAAATGCTCTTGTTGTGTCCTCCGTGCTTTTCTGTCATACCCTGTAGCCACATATGTTTGTTTTTCATGCAGGTTCATATTGCTCAAAGAGGGGCTATCCAGCCACTGATCGACATGCTTAAGTCTCCAGATGCACAGCTTCGGGAAATGTCGGCTTTTGCTCTGGGGAGATTGGCTCAGGTGATTATTACTACATTGGGCAATTTGCTGCCTAATCTTGGGCTTTAAAGGGTTTAAGCTATTATAAAGTGTATATTTTCTTTTTTATATATTTGTATATTTTAACTTTAGTTTTAATTTTAAAGATGACATAATCAAGGGCGCAATATAAACTTATTTGTAAGATTTATCACTAGCCATTTCTTTCATATTCCTTTTTGCTTTTTATGATGCTTCGTTTAGGACATACACAATCAAGCCGGTATTGCTTATAATGGTGGTATAGAGCTTCTACTCAATCTTCTTTGCTCCAAGAATGGGCCTCTCCAACATAATGCAGCCTTTGCTCTATATGGTCTTGCTGATAATGAGGTGAAGTCAGTTGCTTTCTTCTTTACTGAACCATCACTGCATCTGCATGTTCCCTTTCATAAACATCCAACTTTTTCTTAACAGGACAATGTTGCGGATATTGTTAAGGTTGGTGGTGTTCAAAAACTACAGGATGGAGATTTCAAAGTTCAAGTATGTTCACTTATTTTTCATTAACATGAAATTAATGGGTTTACATGGAACCTTTTCAGGATGATAAATTTGTTGTTTGTGAAGGTATATTGATAGAGAAATCCTTCTCTTTGGTTTATCAATATGGGTGCCTGACAAGTCTCGTGTGACTTGCAGCCTACTAAAGAGTGTGTAGGAAAGACAATGAAAAGATTAGAGGAGAAAATGCATGGACAAGTGAGTTTTTATTGCAAATTATCGATTTCTTTTGTTTGTTTAAATTAAAGATGCATATTTTATTATAATCTAGCTTTTATTTTTTTACTTTTATTTTATTTAATTTTTTTTTAATGTTGACAACATTGGACAGGACTCATCCATTTCTTTTTCTCTAGCAGGTACTGAAACAGCTATTGTATCTTATGCGTTTCGGAGAAAAGGTTGTTCAAAGACGTGTGGCTCTAGCTCTTGCTCATTTATGTTCCCCTGATGATCGTAAATCCATTTTTGTTGACAACAATGGTAAAAAATGATTCATTTGTGGTGTGTGCATCATTTTTGCTTGGATTCTAAAGTATATTTAGTTATTGTGCTACTGAATTTTGCAGGACTTGAGTTCCTGCTGGATCTTCTAGAATCTACAAACCTCAAACAGAAACGTGATGCGTCAATGGCACTTCACTCGTTGGCCGTCAGAACCACATCTGTCTCTCCCTTTGATGTTGCCCCTCTGTCCCCGATTCCCCAGGTAAACTACATATCTCATTTGCTTACCCCATTTCATCAAGTTGGACAAGGAGAAAAAAAAATATAATTTTCATGTTTTTGTTACCAGGTTTTTATTTCTAACTTTTATCAATAAAATGACGATACATTGGCAATACTATTTTTAAATACTCTGTGGCAGTTGCAGGAAATAATATATTTAGACATTTAGTCACTAAAAAAGTCATTTATTGTTTCTTAAATTAGTCTTCTAAAGGTTTTTTTTTCTTTTTTTTTTTAAATTTTAGTGTTAGTAAATAAGAGTCTATTGGCCATCGACATGACGATTGACATTGGTTAATCGTGATGGCATTTTTTTTCAAAATGCGCTAAGTCAAATTTTATGAAGTGATTGTAAAAATGAATGTTGTTTTGGAGGAGAAATGTTACTTGAGCCGGGAAAAAAGAAGAAGAAAAAGCTATGTTGTTTTGGCTTAACCCTGTATTGATCTACTTTTACTTTTATTTATTCATTGATCCTTTGTGCTTATGTAAGGATCATAGACGTGATGAAAATTGTTCATATCGTATGAAAATTTGCTCTACTTACCTTAGGAAAACAAATTTCAATGAAAAATCATTTTGATTGTGATAGGACCCTCTAATATAACAGGACTTAAAATCTAGAAATAGATAACAAAGACTGGAATGACTGAAACTGATTATAATATTACTATATAATATGCCAGATTACAAGATGTAGGGTGATTTAAGTCACACAGATCACACTCTCACACTCACATACACGAACACAATTAACTAGCAGCCACACACTCAAAACACAGACCACAACACAATGATACCACACTCTAAAACAGAACAAGGTTGCCAATCTTTCGAGAGGTTGGCTCTCTCCTTCCCCCAAGGGCCAAGTTCAATTCCAAATCTCTCTCCCCCCTGGCTGAATCCAAATGGGACAATTTATAGGCCCCAGATATGACTTTCACACTCTCCAAAACAACCCATTGTAGCCTTTGACCTTAGTCTCCCTACAGCCACCCTATTTTCTACTTCTTTCGCCAAAATAGGAAGTCAAAGCTCTGACCCACAAAAGCACCCCTTCCTTTTTTCATGTATTTTCCCAAGTTTATAAAAAAATAATCCTAACAGATTGGATGAAATTTGGGTGACTTTTGGTTTCTTTAAGGAGACCGATTTGAAAAGTGAATAATCTTACGAGGATTATCTTGTGTACTGTTTTCTCTTGATTCACTCTAATTTTTACTGGTTTTTGTTTCAGGTATACTTAGGCGAGCAATATGTAAACAATCCTACACTTTCAGATGTCACGTTTTTAGTTGAAGGTAGACAGGTTGTCCCTGAATATTTTCCCCGCACATAATTAATTTTGAAATATGTGCCCATGATGTTTTGATTCCTTGTTTATCAGGCAAACGGTTCTATGCTCACCGAATCTGTTTACTTGCTTCCTCTGATGCTTTTCGAGCAATGTTTGATGGTGGTTACCGGGTAGGCATTGATTAATGTTAATAATCTGTTTTCTTTTTATTATTATTTTATTAAAAGTATTTTGGGTCGCTGACTTGCTTTACTGGGAAACTCTTTCCTTCTTTCTTATCAATTATTGTGCGCAAAACAGTAGGTCTGTTGTAATTACTTCCATCTTTGTAACTAGTCACTTGAAAGTTAGGCTGGAACCTATGCTTTGTAATTTTAATCTAAAGCATCTATGCTGCTTTTTATTATTTTACTTGTCTGACTAGATTCAACGGTGCCGACATTACTTGGTAGAATAGCTATTATGAATCTGAGGGGTTTAAGCGTCAATAACCGCTTTGACATTCTTGGAATATGTAATGTAGGAAAAGGAAGCCAAAGATATACAGATTCCCAACATTAAATGGGATGTCTTTGAGTTGATGATGAGGTTTGATTCTCTGTCCCTTTCTTTGATGGATTTTTCATTTTTTTTATTGCTTTATCTGATAGATGTTGTGCTGTACATGACTTGATTTTCTTTGGGCGCTTCTAGATTTATTTACACAGGAACCGTAGATGTCAATTTGGATATCGCTCCGGATCTCCTTAGAGCTGCCGATCAGTATCTCCTGGATGGTCTTAAGCGGCATTGTGAATGTGCAATTGCTCAGGTAGGGAAAGAGTATAGTTTTATAGTTGATTTTTCCTCTATTTTTCAAATTATTCTATGAACATGTTATAATCCCATTGTTCATCATTTGTTCCCAGGATATTTCCGAAGAAAATGTTTCCCTTATGTACGAGTTATCAGAGGCATTCAATGCTATGTCATTGAGACAAGCATGTATATTGTTTTTGTTGGAGCAATTTGACAAGCTACGTGCCAAACCATGGTATGCTTCGTTGAGCGAGTTGAATGTTCTGTTCTTTGCCCCTTTTTTTCCTGGGAAAATGGTCCTGCGATCCTTTTTAGCATGGTAAAGCTATATTATTTAAGAATTTAAACTAAATTCATATGTTTTTCGTCTTGTTATTGAAATATGCAGGTATTGCCGCCTTATACGTCGCATCGTCCCAGATATACGCGAATTTTGCAGAAGTTTGCTTACGAAACCTACACTAGGAGAATCATGATTTGGTTTGAGTTACAAAACAACTCAGAAAAAGGAAAATTGTACATAGCTGTAATTGTTTTGATAGGAATCACTAGGTCATTTGTAGTCAATGAGCTTGTGATGCAGGGAAGATAAATTGCGTAGTCGTAGGAACATTCTGTTACATAGAATAGGATACTAATCCCACCATTCTTTAATGCCGTTTCTGGACTTACATCTGACCGTAACAAAAACAGCTAGCATCATTCTAATAGCAAAAGAATGCTGGTTAATGGTTCTGGCCGCGGTCACAAGTAATGAAAAGCTTTTATTTGACAATTCACAATTCGTTCAGTTGCCCAATGGGTTTCTTGTGTTAATTCCCTGCATGAATAGGGCACAAATCAAGCTATTATAAACAGAATTGGGCGATAGCCAATGCCTGTGCTAAACTTGGCTTGTAATCAAGGAGACGTAAAATTATAAATTTGTTTGAATGCATTTCTCCCATGTCTGGTCCCACTTTATATTTAGATTTAGTTTAAAATATACGGGTGTCCCTAGATGATTAAAGCATTATTCAGAATTACATTTGAAATTAAGACCTAGGTCAGATGTCGCCAGAGGATTGGAGGTAATCTTTATTCTATCCTCTTCAAAATTACGTATTATGCAGAGCAGAGTTTGCTAGTATTGGAAATTTTGAAACAAATTTTAGCGTAAGATTAAATATTTGTGCCTTCCATTAAAAAACTTAACGTCGAGGTTACAAAATAAATCTCTGTCGAAATAAATAAGAAATATAATCTGAAGGAGAATTTGATGAATGCAAGCGAGACCCTAATGAACATTACGCAACTCAGATTTATGTCTCCAGGTTGAAAGAAGTACAGCTTCTGGGTTTTTCCTTGCTCCCAACAGAGGTGTCAAAATCCGTGTCACCTTCAACCCCGCGGGGTTAGGTCGACTGGCCGGTCGTCTTAGCTTAACCACGGATCTCGGGTTCGAGACGTGGGAACGTAGCACTCTAAGGGGCCAGGGGGCGCCGTCCGTATGGATCCTTGCAAGCCCCCGAATCCGGATTAGTCTGGGGACGTTGTCACGGCTGAAAGACGCCTATTTTCCTGGGATACCGGATGGAGTAATCCAAAAAAAAATCCGTGTCACCTTCCAGTACTCATGCCTCACAAATTTTTTGTGCTAGGTGCTGACTGGAAGTTGAAGTCTGAAACAAGGGAAAAACTTGGGATGTTCAACACTATATGGCTAGACCTACAAGTGTACAGGTGGGAGCGATAAACAATAAACCAGGAGAGAGAAGAGAGAGGAAATCATAAACAAACACCACATTGTTACTACGAATAATTATATTAAATCACCAATGGCCTTTAACTAGCAATCAATCCATTTTTTAATATTACAACACAATTTTTGATTCTGTCTGGGGCAATCGAGGAATTGGAACAGCTTATCTTCAACAATTTCATCTTGCGATTGTCGAAGCACAAGTGGAGTCATCTTTGGTTGACCAGCTTTCTTTGATTCGACAAGCCTGCATTGGCCGCTCAATCTGGAGTGCCTCTGCAGCTTCCATCTCCAATTGCACACAATATTTCCCAAATGACTCTTCACTAATCTGAAGTCTAAAATCTATGCTAAAGAGGAAGTTCATCTCCAACCTATTCAACTCACTTGTGCTTATTCCTCCGACTTTTGCATAGTAGGCATTGTTGAAGAATCTGCACAACCATGTCAAGCAAGCACTACTTCAACTACTTGAAAAAACAAAGAAAGAAGCTATACGTAAAAATAATCTCTGTATCAGAACCCAATTCAACAAAAACTGTCATATAGATAAACAAAAACTACCACAGACTTCTTTATTTGTTACTCCTGAATGACTTGGAGTTACCTATCTTTTGTAGTTAGAAAAGCACCAAAATTTCTGCTATAAAAAATAAGTAATGAAAACAATCACAGCAAGTTAAGGAGAGAATCTGTCAGCAAGAACATACGCATCATCCATAAATTTTGCTGCTAGCATAATGCTAGTTATCAGAAGCCGATGCACATTGAGTGAAGTAAGCTTAACTTCAGTGCATTGAAGGAATCTATCCACATAAATTTGTGCAACAACAAAGCAGGATGGGCTGCAGCCTGAGTACTTGAAGATACGGTCGATATACTTAGAAATACTCAGACTAGGTGCTCTTAGACCATGAAATACTGTAACTACATCTTTTACTTGCTTTGCCTCCAATAGCATTTCATTTCGCTGAACTGATCGCTCTAGAAGTGAAGCAACAAGTGATAAAACCCGTGGAATTCCCACAACTCCTTTGTCCAATTCTTTGAGCCCCAGTGAAAGGTATATATCTGACCTTACATCTTCAGATTCAAGCGCCAGAGTCCCCATATCCAACCTACAGAGCAACGAATAATCATCAATAGGATATTCAAAGTGCTGAAATATGCAATCTATCAAAGCACCTGGAAAGATCAAACCAAAGATAAACTTGATAATTCTTAGGATGTTCAATAATCAGTAACTTGAAAAAAATAGTTATTTTCGTAATGAATAAATGGAAAGAATGATAACTGAATTTTAGTCTATCCATAACTATCTATCAATTCGGCCACAGAAAAATTGCTCTAGCATTTTGAATCATCGGACGGTTACCTACATCCCAAAACAAAATACCATCATATCGTGTATGAATGCCTTTGTCGAAGAATTCTCATCAGGGGTACTTAGATATGGGTTTCCCAAGTAATTAGAAGTTTTATTAGATGCAGCAAATAGTTTGGTAGGTTTATTTTTAATGAGGCGCCCAGAATGATTAAAACAACATAGTCTCCTATGTCATACCATGAAGCAACATCTGGAAAAATCCTTTCCAATTCAGCATCTACTTCAAAGGCATAACAAATTCTTTAGATAGAAAAGCATGTGGCCATATCCAAAAATGGACTATAAACTTAATTTTCCTACACAACTTCAGGCTACATTGATCTTTTGTCAGTTAATCATTCCCAGATCTGTGAGTACCAACTTTACTTCCTTCTTCTTCCTCTTGTCCTCACTTCCAAAATAGTGCCAGAATACAGCAAATCTCAGCTATTGAGCCACAAAGCTTGATTCCCATTAATATATGATAGATATTGACAGCTCCATAGCAAACAGTCATACTCCTCCCGTCCCCGGATAATGAAAGAAAGGGAGAAGAGAAGGATGAAAGAGAGCACTTAGCTTGACCAACTAAATCAAAACGAAAATCAGAAACAAGAAAGACCGACCACGCAAAATTTAGCCAGAAGAAGAAAACAAAACAACAAATCGAAATCCAAAATCAAAGCAGGAAACTAAGGCACAGACTGAGCCCAAGCCCTCAAACGCAGTAATACATCAAAAAGAGACACGAAACTCACAAGTTTTGAAGGGATGACTCTAACATAGAGCTGGTGGTCTCTTCTGCTACATAAGGGTAAGGCGCGAAGATGGCGACCTGAATCGAGGAACATCATCTTCTCCCTCAGCGCTGGCCATTGTCTGATTTAACTGGTCCCTCCGAGTTAAAGGAATAGCTTTATGTTAATTAATAAATAGGGGAAAAAATTCTCATGTTCTGCGCTGCAAGTTTGGTCTTTTCTCCAAAATATTGTGTTGGTTCGAGACTTTTTCACAATTTTTTCTAATAAATATTAACACGACGAAAGTGCATCATGGGTTTCTTGCCCTTTTTCTCTCTCTACGCTTTACGTGAAGACAGAATTTATCCCCCCGCTGCCATATACTTCAGGTAGGTGTGAAAGAAAGCTATCTAGACTACCGGGTCCCACTCATTTTCTTCCAAGTCTTGCTAAAATCCAACAGAAGAAAAGCCCATTTTCCCCTTGATTTCTTTGAATGCTTTTTCTTAGCTACTGTGATTGATGCAGCAAAACGTGAAGTAAATTCAAACCTCGTAGCTTCCATGTTAATAACTCCAGAATGAACTGGCGTGTGGTAAAATATCTGTGTTTGTGCTTGTGTGCTAGATGCTGCGTCATTTGTGGTGGGTAAATACAAGGAACGCAAGAGGATAGCGAATCCTGAATGGATTGCGGCACAAGTCAGGCCCCACTACAGTGGATTATGAGTAAGGGACCTGCAATAATACACTTTTTAAAGTTTGCGTTTTTTGTTTTTCATAGAAATGTTCACAGCTACTATCTCTGTTTGTAAATGCGCTTCTTCCTGCCTCATGATTCTGCGTTTTACTTTCCTTTTTTCTTTTGCCCCCTATTGGACCGCTGAGCTTATCATGCCTCTCTCTCCTTTTTATCTGTTATTATAAAGATGTACCCATAGTAACGTAGGATTTTTATGCCAAGAATATGCTTTTAATGTTTATAAATCCATATATGTTCCTCTCTGTTTCTATTTATAAATTAATGCAAGAATTTTTACAGAATTTAATGTGCCAATGATTAGATTATAAACAACTGCATATTGCTGGACACGCCAAGCGACGACATTCAAAACTTGGAGATAAAGCTTTCATGAGAATATAAGGATTTATTGCTTAATATATTAGTCCAACTTTTTTGTTTATTTACGTCCAAAAGAAAATTCTTGACGTGGTTTTCTCGATGGATTTTTGCATTCGTCCTTTCTGCTGTTAGCTTATTACTGGTTTATCAACCTTGAAACCGTTCAAATTCAACATCTGAAGTTCTAAACCCACTCGTCAATATCAATTTACCAACTTCATCCTTTCATGCTTATGTAAAAGCTAATGTTGGCGCAACTCATGAATTTTATTACACTATTCAATCTTCAAGCTTTCTGTAATCTGATTGGTTTACTTGATGCAACTTAACTTTTTTTGAAAAATAAATGCCAGGATGGTCTTCTCATAATTTTGCGAAGCAATGCCACATCAAGATTGAGATTAATCTCAATCCAACAACTTCCAATAAATAAGTTGAAGTTTATGAAATCAATTCAGGGACTGTCAACTTTCGTTTTCACAAGCGTTACACAAAAAATGACACGTGAGCTTTATTTATTTATTTATTTTAATAGGAATTACGTTTGTCATCAAAAGTTGGTGCAACAGCAACATCGATCACAACCTCCCAACTTACTCCTAATTTTAACATCATTGTGATGAGGCTTTCCTCAGACCTGAACCCATTATCTGTGAGTAATTATGCATATAGAAAATATGAATACAAGTCCCTGATTATTAATCGATTCGGAAACTAATATTACAACACACATCCACTTACGAATCACTACATATCCACAGGAGTTAATTGATAAAAGTGTCCCTTAAGAGATATTTTAATTTTCTTTATATAAATCAGCTATTTAATTTTTACGTTTAAAACTAAAGAGAATAATATAGTGTTATTATTTTCGCAATGAGGGTTGTGGGATTATCCCAAATTATTGCTCTTCGGCGGCTTCCGAGCGGCATACATGTGTCCACCGCATTCCAGCTGGCAAAGTGTCGGTGTCGTTCATGAGCAATAATTAGATTAGATAATTAGATGATATATTTGCAACCATATTAGTATTTAATAATTAATTATATTACACGTATCCTTGTCGAAAACGATTCAAATCCAGTGGAGGTGCCTTGAACATAAAATGTAAACTAGAACGTAGACAGTAGACACCCACTGTCATGGGGCGGGGGCCAAGTGCATGTACGAATATAATCAAAGTTGACGGTTGGCCATTAAAAAAATAATAATAATAAAACAGACATTTTGAACTCTTTAGAATAAGTACTTAAAAACGCACTTATGTAAATGAGGACAAAATTATCATTAAAGTCTTACCTCGTAATCACCTTGAGAACTGTTTTTTGAAGATCATATTGTCATCTCAAACATCAGCAAGTTAAGTGCTTGAGTTGAACAAAAAGGAACCTTGATGAGTCACGGAGGTGTACAAAGTAAATATATGAATAAAATTTTATTTCTTCCAGCATAGCTAATTGTTCTTTTCTTTTAGTTGAAAAAGTGTTCATATTTAGTATCCGATAGTGTTTTGAATATAATTATCTCTAATAGATAGATGTTTGTACTTATCCAGACAAAATTGTCTTTTTTTTTTTATAGTTGGGGACGATAATCCAGGCCGAGGCCCAAGTTGAATTCCGGGCCGGTGCTCACTGAGTCCTTTATCTTTCTCTCTAATTATTTTAAGGAGTCATTTTCTTTTGATTGGAGGGGGTTGCGAGCCCTCATGACTGGGGGGGCTGATTTGTTGATGATTACTTGGAATTCAGGTCACTCCCACAAGGTGCTTGTAATCATCATCTTTCACATTCCCCCGATGCAGTAAAGCAATTTTATTCTGCCTCCCTCAATTTTTTATTCCTAAATTAATCCGAGTTTTCTCACAAACATTACTGAAACACAGGTTCCTATAAATTAATCTGAAAAATTCATCTCAGATAACCAATATATTATTAAAAACGACGAGGACTGTACATTTACTTTTTTTTTTTAATTACTTATGAGTATTATTTTATTAAAAACAATCCCCTTTGACATAGTGGACACCAGATACTCATTTTCTTTGGCCAACCATGCCCCTGGAGTGGCCCCTCCCAGGAAAATTGTAGATATACCAGTAAAAAAGCAATAAGCATCCCAATGAGTATAATAACTTGACAGCAACTTTGCGGAAGAAAAATTAGTGTAACGATTTATTATAGTCACCAGGCATAATCAATGCATCAGTTTCAAATAATATCAAGCATACAAGGAACTTACATATATATTTTTTTTATATTCCAAAGTCATACTAAATATGTTGATCTTTTATTCTAGAGGATCAAAATTGTACATCATAAGAACATTACCCCACTAGGTCGCCGGCACCCAATAATGATGTAGTTTGGTGTTTTTTTTAATGTTTAAAAACCTTAAACATCACAAAAATAAAACTATAAATTATAAGAACAAAGATATTGATTATAAAAAGGTGTTCTCATTCTTTTTTTTTTAGTAAAAAAAATTTAGATGAATTGGGTCCCAGAAACTCATTAGCATCAATGCATATCTCTAGACTCATCAATAAAGTCTCCAAACAGGCAGCGGGATTTGAACCCACAATCTTGTGACTTATGAGCTTATTTATTACCAACTATATCAACTTTTGCTGGTATGTTGTTTTAATTCTCATTATTACTACTCCTTTCCGTCTTTTTTATAAGGACTTGAAATTTGAATTGCATTAAGTCTTTTTTATAAGATTTCACATGGGGTTGTTTAAACACTTAACATGTTTTTACTATTTTTGTCCCTAATTAATTTTATGCATTGCATTAATTAATTAAAAGGTTCACAAGTTGCATTCTCTTTTATACTTTCTCTCTCTTATTTACCCCTTATAAATAAGGTTATATATTTGGAAAAGAAATTTCATTTCTTATATATTTATTATTTTTAATTAATTTTAAATGTTTTCTTAAACCTCATAGGTTAGTTAATCTTGGCATCATTAGTTTTTATAAAAATAGTTCAAAACTATTTCCCCCTATAATATCAATTTGAAATATCATATTTTTTCGATAATAGTTCTTTACTCAAATTATTGTAATTTACTGTGTATTGTATATAGTTCAAAACATCAACTCATCAGCTGTGCTATTAATAAGTGATAAATGTATGATTTTTTTAAAATAGTTATATAATATATAATCTCAATATATAGGTAATACTTTGGGGGGGGGGGGAGAATAGAAAGAAAGATAGCATGCAGTATGCCGTTAGACAACATGATAGTATTTAGATATTCTGGGGGAAAAAAAAACCTCCCCTCGGGGAAAGAGTGCTACTGTTATATTTTTTCGTGATTTGTCTGCCCTCCGTTTCCACTAACGCACTAAGGCCGCGAACGGATCGCATCCAAAATTTCGAACTTGGATTGAGTGAAAATGAGAGAGGAAGGAAAAGTGGGATAGAAAATGGGAGAGGAAGGAACTTTTCCCTTGCTTGGATGAAAAAGAAAATAGGAGAGAAAAGAAAAGTGGGGGGAAAAATATGGTGGGTCCCATACCCCATTTTCCTCTCAAAATTTCTCTCCACAAGTGGAGAGATTTTCACCGCTTCGGTTCATTTCCACGTTACCCCTCCCGCCAAGCTCTCATCGTTCGTCTTCTCTCCTGCGCCAAAAAGCTCTCACCGTCGCTGCTCCAGTAATCACATTCATCTAGTCGGCTGCATCTTCTTCAGGTATCATTGTCTTCTGCTCCATTTTATTTTTCTGATCTTGGGTAGGGATCTGCAATGAACTTGTGGCGAAGATTTACCTGTTTGTCCTCTGTCTCAGACCTTCTTCCTGCTTTATGTCTCCAAAACTGGTTTTCCCTTCACCCAATCGAACTTCTGCAAAGACTGAAACTTGAAACCGACCTTGAGTAGATATGAGTCTGTAAACCTGACCAAGAAGGGGTGTATCGGTGGGCTAACAAGCCATGCCCCATCCCTAAAAAAAAAAAAAACACATTTGCTAGACACAAAATAGAGGAACAGAGAATTCTGCAGAAGTTTTGGAAAGATGTAAAAAAAATTTTATAACCTTTTGCCCTTTTTGACCAACAGCGCCTGATAACCGAAAGGCATGTCATAATTGATAAATAAAACTAGGAAATGAGACTGGAGGACATCAAAAAGCGGATAACTGTATACTCTTATATCAGAATATCTAATATCAATACCTG